GCGATTCGTGGCTCCATAGGGAGCTCCGCCAGAGGCCCCCGCGGCAGGGTCCGCGTGGCGGTCCCGCACCCGATTTCGGCACACCTTTCACTCGTTTGGTGGCCCCAAAGGAACTCCAGCCAGCCCCAGCGGCAGAGTCCGTCGCTTCGTGGCCACATAGGGAAACCCTCCGAAGGCACCAGCGGCAGGGTCCGCGTGGCGGCCCTTCATGCACCCCATCACACGTTCGTGGCCCCATGAGGAGCTCCACCGAAGGTCCCAGCGGCAGGGTCCGCATGGCGGCCCCGCACCCCTTCCGGCACACCCCATCCCATGAAAAGCTCCACCGGAGGCCCCAGCGGCAGGGTCCGCGTGGCGGCCCAGCACCCGATTTGGCACAAACTCCTCACACGTTTCGTTGCCCCATAGGGAGCCTCATTGAAGGGCTCAGTGACAGGGTTCGCATGGCGCCACCGCGCGCATTTCTGCACACTTCCCATACGTTTCGTTGCCTTTTCAGGAGCTCCAGCGAAGGCTCACGCGGCAGGGTCCACATGGCGGCCCCGCACCCGATTCGGCACACCCCTCACACGTTTCGTTTCCCACCAGGGGCCTGCCCCTCCTTCGTCCCACCAGCCCTGCGGCACTCGCACCCGCATGCGGTCGGGTCCTTCGCCCAGATATGTTTTTGTATTCTCGTGGTTGTCAGACGCCCCTCTGCTTTACTGGAGGTGTGTTGCCTCGAGGTTTGTGGGAGGGAGGGACAATGTGTTTGCAACGAGCGCAGCGCGCGAACATGATACGCGCTGTGACAGCCCACACACTGAAGCGTGGGCCGGACGGAACACGTACACGCCATCAGCTTCATATGCAGTTTTCTTCCCGCATGAGATCGTTTTGGGATCGGAGGGGGAAAGCAGGAGTTTGGGGAACGCGGGGTAGGTTGATGAGGACGAAGGATGACCAGGATGTTTTTGCCAACCGTCCTGTGGTGTTTGGGTCCTCGTTTTGAATCAGCCGCGCTCCGCGTCACCTCACCTCCTCCCCGTCCTCCCTCCTCCTCCACCTCCTCCTCCTCCTCCTCATCAACATCATCAGCAGCATTCTACTCATCAGCAGCAGCATCATCATGATCGTCATAATCATCATCATCATCATCACCGTCATCCTCATCACCACCACTATCATCATCCCCATTTTCATCATCAGCATCACCATCGTCATCATCGTCACCACCGTCATCATCATCATCAGCATCGTCGTCGTCGTTGACGTCGACACCAGAGCCATCACCATCACCATCACCATCACCATCACCATCACCATCACCATCATCGTCATCCTCATCATCATCACCATCGTCAGCACCACCACCATAATCATTACCATCGTCATCACCACGACCGTTATCACCACCATCATCATTATCCTCATCATCATCAGCATCAGCAGCATCATCATCATCACCATCATCATCATCAGCACCACCATCACCATCGTCAGCATCATCAGCACCAGCACCATCATCATCATCACCATCATCATCATCACCATCATCATCATCATCACCATCATCCTCATCATCATCACCACCATCATCATCATCACCAACAGCATCATCATCACAATCGTCATCATCATCATCATCATCATCACCATCGTCAGCACCACCACCATAACCATTACCATCGTCATCACCACGACCGTTATCACCACCATCATCATTATCCTCATCATCATCAGCATCAGCAGCATCATCATCATCACCAGCATCATCATCATCAGCATCACCATCACCATCGTCAGCATCATCAGCACCAGCACCATCATCATCACCATCATCATCACCAGCATCAGTTCCATCATTACAACCATCATTACCGTCATCACCATCATCACCATCATCACCATCATCCTAGTTATCATCGCCATCGTTATCATCATCATCACCATCATCATCACCACCACCGTCATCATCATCATCACCATCATCATCACCATCATCTTCCTCATAATCATTAACATCATCATCACCATCATCATCACCAGCATCAGTACCATCATTACCACCATCATTACCATCATCATCACCATCATCACCATCATCGTAGTTATCATCGCCATCGTTATCATCATCACCATCATCATCACCACCACCGTCATCATCATCATCATCATCATCATTATTATTATCATCAGCACCACCACCATCATAATCATCACCATCACCATCATCCTTATCATCATCATCATCATCATCATCATCATCATCATCATCATCATCATCATCATCATCATCATCATCATCATCATCATCATCATACTCATCATCAGCGTCAGCATCATCATCACCATTCTCATCCTCATCAGCCTCAACGGCATCAGCATCAGCACTCTTATCATCATCTGTCAAGTTTCGGCGCACTCCTCACATGCTCCGTGGTTCTATAGGGAGCTCTACCGCAGGCCTTGGTTCGCATGGCGCCGCCGCACCCATTCCAGCACGCCCCTCACACGTTTCGTGGCCTGATGGGGAGCTCCCAGTTGAAGGGTTCGCATGGCGCCGCCGCGCCCATTTTGGTACACCCGTCACACGTTTCCGTGGCCCTATAGGGCTCCACCGAAGGCTCCAGCAGTGGGCCGGTTCGCTTGGCGGCACCGCGCCCATTTCGGCACACCCCTCACACGTTACGTGGCCCCATGGGACCAAAGGCCCCAGTGGGAATTTTTGCATGGCGCCACCGCACCCCACATGCTTCTGCCCTCCGCGTGCTCTGTTTCGGCACACCCCTCACGCGTTTCGTGGCCCCATCGGGAACCCCACCGAAGACCCTAGTTGGAGGGTTCGCATGGCGCCGCCGCATTCATTTCGGCACACCCATCATACGTTCCGTGGCCCCATTGGAAGCCCCACCGACGGCCCCAGTTGGAGGGTTCGCATGGTGCCGCCGCGCCCATTCTGGCACACCCATCACGCGTTTCGTGGCCCATCGGGAGCTCCACTGAAGGCCGCAGTGGGAGTGTTCGCATGGCGCCGCCGCGCCCATTCTGGCACACCCCTCACACTTTCCGTGGCCCCATAGGGAGCTCCACCGAAGGCCCAGTGGGAGGGTTCGCATAGCGCCGTCGCGCCGATCTCGGCACACTCTCATTCGTTTTGTGGCCCCTGAGGAGGCTCCACCACAGGCCCCAGTGGGAGCGTTTGCATGGTCTGCGGCGCCCACTTCGGCACACCGTTTACATATTCCGTGGCCCCATCGGGAGTTCCACCGAAGGCTCCAGTGGGAGGGGTCGCATGGCGCCGCCGCGCCCACTTCGGCATACCCCTCACACGTTTCCGTGGCCCCATAGGGAGCTCCTCCGAAAGCCCCAGTGGGAGGGTTCGCATGGCGCCGCCGCGCCTATTTCGGCACACCCCTCGCATCTTTTGTGCCTCCCTTCTTCGTCTCATTAGCCTCGTGGTGCTCACAGCTGCATGTCGTTGGGTCTTCCGCCCGATTTCCCCAATTAGGCTTGCCTAAGGGGTTCGTATTTGGTTAAAGGTTGGTGCCTCGAGAGATTCCCCAGGTTCCTCTGGTTCCCCGGGTTACCTCGCCCTCCCGATTTTTGCGTTGCCCGTTCCTCGGAGGTTCCCCGGGTTCCTCAGGTTCCCCGGGTTCCTCGGGTTCCCCAGGTTCCTCGGGTTTCCCAGGTTCCTCGGGTTCCTCGGGTTCCTCGGGTTCCTCGGGTTCCTTGGGATCTTCGGGTTCCTCGGGTTCCCCAGGTTTCCCCAGGGTTCTTCGGATTCCTCGGGTTCCCTGGTTTCCTCGGGGTCCGCGGGTTTCTCGGGTTCCCCGAGTTCCTCGGGTTCCCCAGGTTCCTCGGGTTCCTCGGTTTCCCTTCTTCCCCAAGCAATGCCAAGCAACGCGAAGCAATGCCCCAAACAATGCGAAGCAATGCCCCAAGCAGTGCCCCAAGCAATGCCCCAAGCAATGCGAAGCAATGCCCCAAGCAAAACAAACAATCCAAGCAATTCCAAGCAATTCCAAGCAATGCCCTAAGCAATGCCACGCAATGTCCCAAGACATGTCCCAAGCACTGCCCTAAGCAATGCCCTAAGCAATGCCCTAAGCAATGCCCTAAGCAATGCCCTAAGCAATGCCAAGCAATGCCAAGCAATGCCAAGCAATGCCCCAAGCAATGCCGGGCACTGCGCCCATGCAACAGGAAGCTTTCCCCTAATCGGGGTCGCGCCGTATTATTTGTGTGTTTGCCAGCGGCGACATCGGATGCGATACGTTGGACAGCAACAAGAAAGACGCAGCGGAGCTAATTGCGCACCGATAGTAATGGAAGAGGGGGGTGCGTGTCATACTAACGGACAGAGGACAAAGAAGGAGTGGAGGATGAGGAGGAGGAGGAGGAGGAAGAGGAGGAGGAGGAGGAGGAGGCGGATGAGGATGGGGAGGAGGAGGAGGAGAGCGTGGAGGAGGAAGATAGAGAGGGAGGACAGGAGCGAGCAAGAGGAGGAGGAGGAGGAGGAGGAGGAGGAGGAGGAGGAGGAGGAGGAGGAGGAGGAGAAGGTGGAGGACGAGGAGGTGGAGGAGTAGAAGGAGGAGGAGGAGGAGGAGGATGAGGGTCAGAAGGAGTGAGGAGGAGGAGGTGGAGGAAGATTATGTGGGGGAGGAGGAGGAGCGCTTGATTGCCCACACGAGCACCCTGACGTGGTTTGAATAGTCCACACGAGCTCTTCCGTGTAAGCCAGGCCAGCCTGACGTGGACATTTGATACAGCTCTTTGAATAGGCTTGAATAGGGTCTGGCACACCAAGGTGCTAGGCGATATCAGCTCCGCCAAAGTGTTCCTGTACGACCTAGGTCACGCAGGCTCCCACAAAGAATGGAAGAAAGGTGTGCTGGTTGAGTGGTATTTTGCACGAGGCGAGGCTCCCCCAGAGGATCCTGAGGAAGAGCCGAAGACGCCCCTGGACTGTGCGTCGGAGGCGTCTGACGAGGAGGCAGACGTCCTGGAGGAGGACGAGGATGATGCGGGCACCGTCATCGAAGACGACGGGGCCGCTCCCACTGATTCCAGTGGGTCCGATGGAGAGGACTGCCGCTGGGGGTGGCAAGAGCTTTCGTAGGGTGCGTGGTGCTTGAAAGTTAGTCGTTCCAGGCGCATGGTCCATAGCGTGGCACCGCGCGCCATGACCCCGAACTCCGTAAGCGGCAGGAAACGCTGTACACACGACGCGGCTGGCCTGGGCGAGAGCTGGATGCACATGTGCCCGCATGTCTTTGAAGCTCCGCGCGGTCGGGTGCACCGGCCATCCGCAAGGTGTGTTCAGCGCGCGGCCTCCACACGTTCCGCAGAGGAGCTCGGCGATCTGTGTTTCCAGCTCCCTGACAGGAGGAGGAGGAGGAGGAGGAAAACCAGGCCTCCCAAATGGGGACCCGAGTAAATGGGGTCGGTGGATCGCCTCGCATCGCCGATGCATTGGCGATGCGGCTCGATGCGATGTGGATCCCAATTTTCTTCTCGCCGACGTCGCCGATGCATCGCTGACGTCGCCGATGCATCAGCGATGCATCGCCGATGCATCGCCCATGCATCGCCGATGCGGTGCGATCCTCCGACCCCATCTAACCTGGAGAAGTCTTGAGTTTTGGCCCCATCCCTGGAGCTCTCGGCTGTGAATCGACTGGCCCTCCCCTCCTCCTCTTACTATGGTCAAGAAGCTTTCTTGCAAGCGCTGGCGAGGCAGAACTTAATGACACCCCCCTTGCCTATGCTGAAACGGAGGAGAGGGAGGAGGAGAAGGAGGAGGCGGAGGAGGAGGAGAAGAAGGAGGAGGAGGAGAAGGAGGAGGAGAAGGAGGAGGAAGGGGAGAACGGAGGGATGATGATGAGGAGGAGGATGAAGAGGAGAAGGACGAGGCGGAGAAGGATGAGGAGAAGAGGG